ATTTCACAAAATACTGAACCTTGTACCAAATGAAGCTGTTACATAGGTACAAAGGCATTGTTAATTTTTACAGTATGCTAAATTTAAGTCACTTAAAATAACTGATGGACTGATTAACATTATTAACATTAGATGAAGCTTAAGTACTACATTCAGTCAACATTTTTTTCGTAAAGTTTTAAATGTAATTTAGAATTCAGGTTGTTTTGAGAATGACAGAGCAGTAATTGACCTGGAAAATTCCACAGTGATAACCCACTATAGTAGGTTCAGTTTGCTCTAATGAATGATACAGAAATGAAGTTATTTTTCCACTAAACCAAAATGGACTTGATTGCATACTTACTGTCTCTTTTACCAGATCTTTATCATGTTAAAATATTTCTACTGTGCTCAAAAGGCTAACAGAAAACAAAACAAAAAAGTAGCAGGAATAAAAATCATCAAAATTGATTAGCATGTAAAACTATAAGAAGATAAATGAAACTAATTTTATGTGATTGCCTGCAGGTCTTGCATTCAGCACTAAACGCATTAGGGCATACATAGATTTTCTATACTTAAGAATAGGATTACAAATGAAAACGCTTTAATGTGTCATTTCCATCCCGCCTTGTTCAAACTAACAAAGTAAATTCTTGGAAGTGAATACCCTTTTCTAAGTGACCCAGAACTAAGGTATTGTATATATCCACTGAAATCCATAAACAAGAAATACTGCATGAGCAAAGTATTTTCCTTCCTTCCTTGAGGAGCTAACTCAACAATGGAGACATAACCACAAAAGCACATTACCTCTATCTACCTTTTCTGGTCCTATATAAGAGACCATAGTATGATGTAGTTTTACATTTGACTCTAAAATTATGAATTTTACTTGTTTTTTATTGAAATGCAGCATTGCTTAAATGTATTTTTTAAAATTAGTTAAATGTGTTCTGTAAAAGCATTCATTTGATAACCTGTTAAGACTTACTGTGTGTATTTTTCATGCTCAGTAAAATTACATTTTAATGACATTTACAGTGGTACCTTGGTTTGTGATTTTAATTTGTTTCATGATTCTGAAAAAGATGACTAAGGTTGCGCTTGTCATCCGATGTGGAATTCAGAAAGTAAAGCAACATTTTGCCCAGGGCTTCTGTTTTTGAATAGAAATGTTCATGAACTGAGGTATTTCTGTACTTGATATTAAATCTTTGATGACTGGATTAGAGCAGGGTCTTGGAATTGTAATTTGCAATACTTACATTTTTGGTCATACAAATATACAGTGTTTCAGTAAAATGTTCTAAAGCATTTGTTTACTGTTTTATATATTTTAAAAATTGTGTGAATTGAAAAATTTATATTATTATCATTTACTCCTATTATATTCTAAAAGGGATCATTTCATGGTCTTCATCTTTGCAATTGTGTTATAGCAGTTATTATTATTATTGTTGTTGTTGTTGTTGTTATTTTGTGGCACTGGAAACTAAACCCAGCAGCTTAACACTGAGCTACAGTCTGGCCAATTTAAAAATTATTTATTTGTTTATTTTCATTTCAAGACAGTCTTGCTAAAGTGCCCGGACTGCTGTTGCACTTACTGTCCTACTGCGTGTCTTTCATAGAGGCCTGTGCAATCACACTTGCTTTATAATTTTTATTTTTAACAATGCAGATATTTTAAATTTACAAGAAATTGATATATGGGTGCTAAAATAGGAAAGAAAGAAACAATAAAGTTACATCCTTTTAGAACCAGGAAAATGCTTCAAATTCTTCATCTGAAGTGATTCTGTCTTGGCTAGAAAAATTCACTTGTCTTTATGTTCAGAAGCTGTCTCTTATTTCTTATAATCAGATAATTCAGTCTACTTGTACATATACACATAAACATGGCCTATCTCTGCATATATAGTATCCACCTCATATATATACATATATATATATATATATATATGATAATCAAGACACAAAGTATGCTTAAAACTTAAAAATTATAATGAAAAATTAATGCCATTAAATCCCTCCAAATACTTCCCCTTAACTGGGACACACTTATCTCACTGTTATCGCCACTTGTACATGTGTGCATGTGTGTGTATGTATGTTCATGTGTGTATTCAAGAACTGAATCCAGACCTTAGCACTGATCTACATCCCAACCCTTTTTATGTGTTTATTTTAATTTTGAACAGGGTCTTGATAAGTCCCTAAGTACTCAGTCTGGATTCAAATTTGCACTCTCCTGCCTCAGTCTTTCTGGAACAGTTCTAGAAGTCTTCTGGAAATCTAGAAGGCTATTTAGGAAGCATGATTAAAAATACAGCGAATTCTTTTGCCTAGTACAATGCAACTTAAAGCAGTTTCATAAACCATGTCTCCCAATCTCACTAACATACCAGGTCTGGAAATCTGAGATTTCAGGCTCTTTCTCGAAGTGAAAATAGTCATATGACAGGTAAATGTTTTGAATCTGTTCAGTACAGGGGAGCAGATATGACAACACAACTAACTCAGTCTTGAACAAGGACTTGCAGACCTTGTTTAGAATGTGACAAAAACACAATAAGTGTGTTCCAAGCAAGGGGCAGGGGATTTTTGGGAGAAATTATTGGCAGTTGTATTGGTGTAATAGTTTTCTGCCTTTCTATAAATGCGTATTGATTATACTGAATGATGAGTTTCCTTTGGGTAGATTGGGACACGCATGTGACATACTTTAATCACTGCATCTCATTACCTTCCTTACACCAAGCTCCCCGCTTCACATTGTTGGGGGGGATTTCAATGTGTACAATGTACTTTGATCATGTTCATGCCCCGTGCTATCTCCCCTTACACTGCCTCTCGCTCCCATTTCTTCCCTCCTTGTCTAGTAATAATTCGCCTTCCACTTTCATGTCATCTCTTTTAGATGTTAAGAAAATGACTTTAGGAAAAACAGGTGACATTTGTCCTTCAAAATCCAGCTTATTGTGCTCAATATCATGATCTCCAGCAAATGGAGAAATATGGAGATCATCATATTGTAACAAAATTTATATATGAATGGTGTTTTGTATCATACCTCACAAGTTAGTGCAGCATTATGTATGATGGTGAACTCTTTAATCCATAGAATATTCCTATGATACTTTCTTTTGGGGTCTTACAATATTTTATTTATTGCATTTAATATTTGAATTTAAACTACCATGAAATCTTCAGACTCATCACTAAAAAGGGCGAGTTGTATAATGCAGATAAAAATGGAGGTAGATTCCCACTTACGATTAGTGTTTAGATGGAAATATCGAGTATTATGCGCAAAATGCAAAGTGCAAATTTTGTTTTGAAGCAACAGGAAATTTCACAAGTGGGTAGAACTAAGCTTAGAGTAGTCAAATACTTCCCTGGAATTAAACTTTAGAGTACGATAAAGGTGTGGGTGGAGAATCACAGCCGAAAGCATTCCCGAGCAAGTTGTCCTAACCCTTCACTGTCAGTAAAAGTCCCAGATAAATAATCTTGTAAACCACAAAGAGAAAAGCAGTTCTAGCTTCTTACTGAGAGGGAAGAAACTAAAGTAAAAAGAAAAATATTTGTTCAGAATCACAAAGTTAATAAATGCCAAGAATTAGGCACTGATACTTTTCTAATGATCATTTTCTTCTATTAATTTATATAGTATTCATAAACAGTTCTTACCTGCCTTTTCCAGTAACTATCAAACCCTGTCTCTGTCTTCCTAATTTGAGGGTATTACTAATGGAAAAATATCATCTTACAATATTTCTAAACCAATAAGTTAGCCATAATTTGTGCTAATTGTGTAGAAATAATAAAAAGATTATTTTAAACTATAGGTATCAAATAAAAGTCACTTTTGCTTTCTGAAGATTTATAGCTTGAATAAATGTAATTGTACTACATTTTAAGGCCATTACCCTTCACTACAATCCTGATCAAAAGCAATATGTAAAGTATTCTAAGTTACAACTATCCAAATTGAATATACCACTTGAATTATTGTTTATGCTCTTTTTAGAGAAAATAATTAAATTTAAATATTGGTTCACAGTCCATAAAATTATAATTAATGTGGTTTTAAATAAATGGCTATATAATTTACTATATAATTTAACTATTTTATGTTTAATAATGAATTAAATAAGGTAGTCTTCTTGATTATTACTTTTAAAAATTCATATCAATTATAATTAATTAAATATTTACATTAAAAATAACACTTTTTTTTCCTTCTTCCAAAATACTTGAAAAAATAGTAACATTTTGCTTGTTTGTTAAATCATTTCTCAGGCTATTCCTGAAAATGTACACATTTCAACTCTTCTTAGACTATTTACATTTATTCTAATAGTCAATAATAATAGTCTCATATATTATGACATTGTCATTCAGTATGATAAGATCAGTTTACAAGTAGAAGAAAGATACCAAATAATTGTAATTCACTTTTAATGCAATGTGCATAGACATCATAGTGCCTAAAACAACAATAATGAATGGAAATTATTTTATTTGTGGAAAAATTAACATATACTTACTAATTTTTTTAAATTATATCATTCTCTTAAACTTTTCTGAATATGTCAAATAAACTAAAATTTAGGAAACTTAATTGATCTTAAAATGTAAGTTTATTAAATCTATTATCACTATTCAAAATCCACCTCATTAGTTTTTTTCTAGTGCAATTTGTTCAATAAAACTTGATGAATTCATATAGTTTATTTTAAAGACTGAAGTTTTGATTTTATATGAAAACTTGAATAGTTTAAAAGCACCTATATGTTTATTCAGGCTTCTCCCTAAATAATGTGTAAACATTTTACACACTGATTAGTATTATCTTGCTTTTTAAAAAAATTTCCTTTGGGTACCTTGCATCAGGCTTAAGAGAGCAGTTTCCTTAACCTGCATAATTCCATGCTAACAAAATTTGTTAACTTGAATTTCATTTCAAATTGTATTTCCTGATACATGTTTTTGTTTGTTTTCTTAACTAGTGAAAAAGGCCATAGATTTTAAATCTAGAGGATTTAAATTGTTTCCAGGGAAAGACAACAGCAACAAGTTTTCTATCTGTGAGTGTACTTCTTTTTTTGTTATTCTCTAGTGCAAGAGTGAAGTTTGTGGTGTCTGTGTTGTTTGTGTGTGTTTTATTAAAATGTGTATTTACTAAATTAACTGCATTAATATCTATATAACTTGCATGATAATTAGTCAGTGCTGTATTGTTTTTAAATGTATATTGAGTTAATGGATCAATATGTAATTTTCCAACAACAGATTGGTTTTAGAAAATTTGTTCATTATTTCAATATAAAAACAGATTCTTTTATCTCGTGAGGTGATGATAGGTTTTGTAATTCTAGGATGTGAAGTAAAATAGTATTTCTCAAGTTGTAGGTTCCCTATAGTGATCCTTATTTTACTGTAACAAAATTTTCACAGAAATTTTTTAAGGAGCATTTTTTTGTATAATGTATCAATTTTAAGATAAAAACCATTTTAATTTTAGCTTAATTTAAACACTTTATTTTGGCAATTAATTGATTAATTATTTATTCATGCTTCTGAATGCATGCTTTGACTCACAAATTCAGGACATTTCAGAACACCTGAATTCAATTTAATGAAGCCTCAGTTTAGAAAAATCATCAAATGGAAACATTTATTTACAAGCATGAATTAATATTTTTCATACTGCAATGCATGTTTGTCAGACAAATTAATAGTAATTGGCAGAAATTCTCCACCTCACTGTTTTTGCATATGCATATTAGAAACTTTACAATAAGTCTTTTATGGTACAGTGCCTAATTTCTAAAAAAGAATATATGAAAAGTGAGAGAAGTTATTGTAAAATACGTGTGCAGCTATTATTTATCAGTCAATAAAAGAATAATTTATTTCAATTCCAAACCACCTTATGAAATGTTTATAACTATTTATCTGATAAAAATTAGTCATTATAAATTTTAAAATGTATTTTACCTATATATTTATTTACTTGTATACCTAAATAGTAAATTACTCGAAGGATACTCTTTTGACAATTTTCAAAAAAAAAATTTGGGGCATTTATGTTATCAATAATATTGTGGTTTCTATTTTAAAATATAGTTTTTACATTTTGCTACTTAGACATGAGAATAGTAAGCTTAAACCACAAGATAATATGAAATCGTCAATGAAAAAGAGCTATCAGTTTGAAAAGCACTTTTTGTTAAATTCAAGATATTTAACTGAATAATAAGAATTTTTAAATATTTTGGGAGGCAATATCGATACTGTCAGTTTTTAAAATAATTATAAATGCTGAAGTATAATTCAGGCCAATTTTTTCATACATGTTGGAAAGAAATTCATGTTTTCTGAAAGAATTGCAAATAGAAAAATATTTCCAGGTGAGATGATTCCAACAGATCAAAGTTCAACACATCAATATAAAATAAAAGTTAAGTGATTACCTAATGAAATATTAAGTTTATGACACTTATCTAATATTTTGTCTGACTCATAGTTATTTCAAAATTTTTTCCAGAATCACAAGTTATAACACTTTACTCTTTTTTTAAATTTTATTTTGTCTACTTAAATGTTATTTGAGCTGCTCCTCCATATATTAACCTTGCAGATATTCTGAGAAATTCGGTCTATTTAAATACTGAGATATTTAAGATTTGTTTAGGCATTATTTGGTGTACATAACTTTCTATATTTACTAGTACAGTGATTACATGGAAATGTATATTTCATTGTTTTCATGACTATAAGGTAAATTAAAAGAAAACTTATACGTGAAACTGTTACAATAGAAAGGAAAAGAGAATATTTGCTATAAGATTTTCATGCAAAATCTTATGATATGAAAAGTGTGAAATATTTATTTCACAATTTAAAAAGAAAATTTTGGATATCCCATTGTATTTCCTGTAAAAAATTAAAATTCTTTTGTTTTTTGCTTTTATTTTTGTACATAAATAATTGCTACATGAAAGAAAACAAAGTATTTTAAGACAGCTTATTCGTGATTATGAAATAGCAAACAACATAATTTTAAAATTTATTTTACCATAGTTCATGTCTCAAGTATCAAAGAACTAGGTTTAAAACAAAACTGACTCATGGGGTTTGTAGGACAAGGACATATCACAGGAAAATTTATCGCCATCATACATCTATTCTCAAGATATATTAGTTTAAGGAATGAAAACTTTTATCTAATGTTCATCTTTTACATAAAAATTGTTAAACATATTAAGCACCTATTAGTTCTTCTATTGGCCTCGGTAGAATTGGAAATAATCTTGGAGGAAATAAAAAACACACTTGCTAATGCCACTGTCTCCTACAATGGCATCTTTTAGTTTGAGAAATGAATTAACAAGAGATATGAGAAGTAATATTGATAGGTAGAATTGGCCTGTTTAAATGTATATTTTCAAATAATTTTTTTTTTTTCAGTTTTAATGCCTGGACTTTCGACACTTCATTTTTTCTTTATTGTTAAAAGTTGTGGGTATCTCAAACATTCCCTCAAAAATTCTAGTGTTTTCAAGGAAAAAAATGATTTTTCTAAATCATAAAATCATTAAAAATAAAATATACTTTACAGTATATTTTGTATGTTTAAAATGTTGAATTCAATCATTAGGAGTCCTTGCAGTGTATCCATAAAATAGTCATGTTTTTCTTTCCTATTGTAAATCTATACTTTCATTCATTCATAAGACCAATACATTCTGCAGTTTTTCCCTGCAAGTACCATGATAGAATAAGAAAAAAATGAGTGAATAAAATATAAACTCAGCTACAAGCATCCAATGGTATTTGGAAACTGAATTAAAAGTCAGTTCTTTGTTGAATACTATTTGTTAGTTTAAATCACTTGATATCTACAATGGTTGAGTCCACAACAAGATTCTGAAGAGCCATAATTTTAAAATAATAAAAAAAATTGTCTAACTTGAGACAAGTGGAGGTTAAGCACCTGAAAGAGGAAACTTTAGGGTGAATTTTACACAGAATATACTTATTTTTCTCTTTCGAGTAGGCTCTATATTATGCAGAATCAGAAGCCTTACTAAAACACGGTTATAGTAAAAATATTATATTTCTATATTCCTTAATTTTAAGGTGTAGTTTAAATTAGAATCTAAAATAGTAACTAAGTCAAGATTCCTGAAACATATAAACTATATAGTAGAGATACTTTAGTATTGTAAGACATAAATAGCTCAGTGTTTTAAACCCCATCAATTCTGTCTACTGTTTCTCGTTCTTTATTGTTATGTGGGGAACAGAAGTCACATTTCTTAAATAATAGAAGTAAAATAGCCTTATAGACCAAAGATAAAGGATCCTTCCATGAATGTATTTTTTAAGGTAGAGTCCCTTCTTCATATGTGGTGATTTTAAAGAGGATTCATTCTTAACTTTGCTTCAAGTTAGTATTCACATTAAAACGAATAAAAGTGATGGATTTTTCCCGCTTCTTCAGGAGCACTGTACAGGCCAAACTGATGGAATGAGCACTGCCTTCTTTCAAAATGTTAATAACATCTTGCCATGGAAAACGATATCAATAAAGAAAATGAAAGATTATACAGTTTCTTCCTAATTTATTTTGTTAACTTCCACGTTTATCACTAATAGGTATTAAATACATATGATATACGGAAGCCCTCCTTTTATCTGTACTGGTTAAGTTACCTTAATTGAAAATGTCCCAGAAATAGTATCTGATATGAGCATTTCAAGAGACCGAAATAACTTGACATTTAAACACGCAAAAATTGGAATGAATTAGATAAAAATAGTGAAAATTCTAAGTATGTTCTGTATTTTAAGGTGACATATTTGCAAGAATGTATTTAGTAACACAGCTTCCTCTTTGCACACTGTTTGGTCAGGCTGTAGGGCTCCAGGTTTGGCCTGGATGTGAGTGCAGATGGACAGACACTAGCCAAATGAATTGGAGACATTTTTGAATTCCCCATGCTTCAGTTTTCTCCGTTGGAGGAGGTAGATAGGGTAACAGCAGTTGTAGAAATCTCTACACGTGCAGTTTATAGAACAGATCCTGACACCCAGTAAGATACGTCATTTGTCATTCAAATTCACATAATAATATTCAACAATTCTACTTTTTGAGCCTATATTTGTGGTGAAATGAGAGATGAATTTCCTAATTTCTGTTTTCTGGTACTGTACTTGAAAATCACTTTCATATTACTCTTCATCTATGATACATAAGGTACTTTAATAAAGTAGGTAAGCCTAATTCATGCCTCATTTTTCCTCATTTCCAACTCATGTTAAGGAAATCATATTTTGATAAGATATTCAATAATATTATTAAAATATTTCAATGGTTAGAAAAATAATAACACCCCATAAAACTTTCTCTATTCATTAAAAACAGTACATCATCATGTGATATTGCTAATCGAGTAGGATAGATTTTTTCAAAAATTATAAACCCTTCTGTAGTGTTGTGATTGTATTAAAATAATTGTAATATTTCCTTCTTTTGAGTTTATAAATCATTTAGAGGTTACTAAAGAAATGTAAAATTTAAGAATTTATAATATCATGAAATAATTTTTAAATTAAATGTAAAGCTGTCCACATAAAATACACTAAGTTATGCAAAAAGAGGAGATAAATTAGTTTATTAAAAATAAGTGATTATCTTTTGGAAGAAGTAGGACATGAGTTGACTCTTAATTTGTGTTTAAGATAGCTAAACAGAAAGCAAATGCAAACATAGAGATGTAGAGAAAAAGATATTGCCTATAAGGAACATATGTGATCAGCAAAATCATAGAATTACAGAATTAGAGGCATCGGGATTTGAGTGATGATTTCATCTTCGTGACTAATGAGAAATACTGTTGACTGACTGAATATCTAGAATCATTGGCTATTTGAGCAGTTATAAAACTCACCTCTGTTGAAATTTAGCTCTTCCCTTATATTCAGGATGAATTGGAAGTAGCTGATAAAACTTTTGCATAAGTTTCAAAATAGCTGGATTCAATTTGAGAACACAGATCAGATGCCATTTGGAACTTTGGAAGATGATCCACTAGGCCACTGAAAGACAAAAACAATGTCTGAAAAAAAGGACAAAAACATGCATACGAAGTAATTAGCAAACAGTTTTAGAGGCAACACTAGGAACTCAGACTAATTATAGTTGTGGGTTAACACCTTTGAATTAGTCTGCCATCGTAAAAAGAATGAACACAGGAGGTGTCCCCTAAAATCAGAAAAGCTAAGAAGAATTAAATAGCAGTCTAGAGGTCAAGAAAAGCAAAACATATCAGATGCTTTGAATCAATAAATATCAAATAAATTGGAAAAATGTATGTTTCTGATAATATTTAGGAAAATTATTTTATTATTTTAGAAAAATAATTTTAGAGTGATAAAATGGGATGCATTTTTTCATGTAACTGTGAGAATTGTAGCTTTCCCATGCCATGACCGGTTAGATGTCTTTTCTTTGATAATTACTGTAGAATCAATTACCCACCTGAACTAAATGATTCAAAACTCCAGGGGTCCTCAACTTTCACTTTATATTAGAATCATCTTGAGAGTTATTTTTACAAACAAACCAACAATGACAACAACTACAGCAAAACTCCAATTGCCCTTTAGTCCAATTTAGTCCAATCTTTGTTCTTTTTAAGTCATTCTTGTCTACAATGTAGAACAAGAACCATTGCAGGGGGTTAGTTTTTTTGCTGTGCAGTCTCTACTTAGATACTCTTTCCTTAAAAAGAGTAATTGATAAAAACACAATAGGAGCTTTTCTTCAGTTTGCTATAGAATTAAATTTCTCAAACAACATCTTGCAGATGCGTCACAAATAAAAGGTTCAGTCATTTTTCCATTTTAAAAAATCTATCTTGGAGATTTACTTGTATAATGTGATCATATTCAGTGAAAAGATAATCTTTTACTTAGTCCACTAAAGAAATTGCTGAAGAAAACCTGAAGAAAAGACAGTGATAGATATTGCTTGAAAGAAAAGTTTGTATTTTGGTCATCAGAATTAAAATGTAACCAAATGACATGTTTAGTAATTTACACTATTGTTCATTGTTGGTGGACCAAATTGCTTTGTTCTATACCAAAGGCAGAGATATCAGCAACTTTAAACCATTTCCATTGGATCAGATTTTTCATTTGCAAATTAAAAAATAACAGGAAACTAAATGATGCTGTCAAACCCTAATTTCATTTGTCAATGGCACTACTTAGTGGAAACTCTGACACTGATATACCAAAAATGTGTTTTACAGTCTGTTTACAATTACACACAAAATTTTAAACGTTCGTGTGCTAATATTCAGAATAGTATGAATTACTGAACATCAACTCTAGGGTCTGATAGATCCATACATTGAAAAATTGTTTTGATTCATTATTGATTTAAAAAGTTATATTTTTAACTTTATATATAAACAATAGCGACTATAACAAAACTACTGAATCCTATATATGTGTATATATATGTGTGTGTGTGTATGGGTGTGTGTATATGTTTGTTAGTTAATTCCTTGATTTCTTTATAATATATTTGTTTCTTTTCTCTTTTTCTTCATTTACAGTAAATGAAGGAGGTATTAAAACAGCTTCCAATTTATGCCCCGATCCAGGAGAACCAGAAAATGGGAAAAGAATTGGATCAGATTTTAGGTAATATTTTAATAATTTCAATATTTATCTTGTCAAATTTTGTTGCAACCTTAAAACTTAAAAATATATAAATAAAACCTCTGGATTCAAACCATAATAGCTAGATCATGTAGATATATTACTAATATATTATCATGTAAAAGAGACTACCTAAATAATATATCAGTCTTATGATATATTATTCTTTAGGGGATTGACTAATCAATTTTTGTCGTAAAATATGTGAAATATATAGTATTCAATTTTTGAAGTTATGTGTTCAAATTTTGCTTTCACTGCTCTTGAGTAAATCATTCAGTGTTATCTGCCTTGATTTCCTTTTCTGTCATAGGTAAATAAAATTAACTATATACAATAGTAAATTTCAAACCCTATAATGCCTGTAAAATGCTCCAGTCTTGTGTTTTATAAGCAAGTAGTTAGAAGCCATGAAATAAGGAATACACCTGTACTCCTAACTATTCTGGAGGATAAGATGGGATAGTGGGTCACATGTTTGAGTCCACTCTGACTAAGTGATTTAGAGCCTGTCTCTAAACAGAAATAAAGATGGAAGGGCACATAACTCAGTAGTACAGAAGTAATCTAACATGCAGAAGGCCCTGAATTTATTCTGCAGGACACATAAACACATACACATAGAGGCACATGCACACACACACACACACACACACACACACACACACACACACACTAAACATTATTTGCAATTTTTAGAAATAAATTTACCTTGAATATTAATTTTATTTTCAAAATATAGTCAATATCTATTTAATTAACTGCAAATTGCATTGATGAATCAGACAATATATACATTATGGAAGCCATTAATTTAACTATCAAATAATACTTTTTAAGAATATTGAGGCTTTTTGTAGTTCCCTAATTACAGCAGTATACAAATACATAATGAAATATTATTTAAGAACAACATGTGTAGCTAAGTAGATAAAACATTTACCTAGAATGCACAAGGCCTTAAATTTTGTCCAAAGTGGATTTTGCTATAAATAGAATACAATAATATTACTTCATCATTAGTAAAATTGTATTTTTCTAAAATATTTACAGAAAAATCTTCCAAAATCAAGATACCACTTGAAGAAATACCCCAAAGGGAAATTTAAAATGCCTGAGATGTGACTGACTTCATTATACTAAATCACTTAAACATACCGCTTGTCTCACTTTCAGTGATTAACAGTAAAATTTGGTGTAGGCAATTGAGGAAATGTCTTCTTTATCATTACAAGATCATCTAAGAACTTATTTTATGCCCTTTTTACAAATAAGTAACCTCCATTTTCCAGCCAAAATTGTGATGTAAGTGGAATTTGAACTCATGACTTCAGGAGTTCAATAACAACATTTAATCAGTACAGTGTATTATAATTTGAAGTTAAACAAACCTCATCCAAGCCTTTTGCTTGTCGTTGAACTGTCTTATCTTCAGAGAGCTGATTTCATTGATCAAGAAATTGAGATAGTAACGCTTATCTTCTTGATTGGGAAGGCCACGTGAGACAGTATTTGTAGTGTAATAAGAAGAGAGCATATAACAATATTAGCATTCATAAAAGGTGTTATAAGTAATGCATAGAATAATTAATATTATTATTAACTTGGACTCATTACCTGTTATTTATATGCTTTACAAGTATACACTTAAAATAGTCACATGTAACAGTAATGTAATTTTTAAATTATATTGAAATGCAATGTTTCAAGCCATGCACATAATAATCATAAATATATAAAAAATTATAATGAAGTAAAAAATAAAATGCAAAACAAGATTCTATGAGCTAAAATAGAGCTCTAGCTCAGTTGGAATGAACCAAATTTCCGAAGGTCCTACTCCTGCTGTTATCAGAAAACGTACATGTGTCTACACTGCAGAGGAGAAAGCATTTAACATTTAGGAAAAACTTCAGTTATTCCAGGAAAATAAAGATCTGTCAAATTCAGTTACAGAGTGTAAAAAGAGAAAATCAGAGAATGAAGTTGAGGAGGTAAGGAAAAGATGGATCCCTTCTGCAGAGATAGTAAATTGGCATCTAGTCCGCTTAATCTGGACTGGAGACTTGTTTTATTTTAACCATACAATGTATTTAAAAGTGGGGGCCAGCATTTAAAATGCAGGAGATTTCACACATACTCTCCCTCTCCTTCTCTCTCTCTGTCTCTCTCTCTCCACACACACAGACTTTGTTGATTTATTTGGCTACTTAAACCAATATACTTTCATAGCAACATTTATTGAACAAAATGACAACAGTTCCTTCCTGACCAAGCTGACTTTTTCTTGTGCACCATGGCTACCCCTGGCCTACTTTTCTCATTTAAGCCACCTTTGCAACTCAAGGAGAAACATGAAAAGTATACCCAGGATTTGGCGATAGATTTATTTTATGTTGCTGGGCACTGATCAAGATCATCAAAATGTCAGGTTTTGCAGGCTTAAGGAAGGAGCTTTCTATGGAGTCTGCAAACGGAAAGTACAGAGGCAGAGTACTCAGCTCTCTGACTGATTTTTATAGTATACATCTTGGAGACCAGTCATTTCTAACAAGCAGAAGCAATAGGAACTGTTGCCTAGGTAGCTAACAGAGTGTGTAGGGGACATTTTCTACTACAGCCTAACTGGCTAAGATGCCAAGTTGCTTTTAGTAAATGAACTACAGAAAAATCAAATTTTTAGAAGGCTACTATGTAGTTTGGATGAAAGTTTATAAAGACTTTGTGATGATAACAGTGAAATAGAAGTACCTAAGGTATATTCTGAAGATAACATTTTCAGTATCTAATGATAATTTGTTCTGATTAAGGAAAACAAAAGAATAAAGGATGATTTCCAGTTTAGGAGCAACGTTGATCAGATGAATTAAAACTTTTACTAGTGTGGATATTAGCGATTTGAGGAGAAAAACAGTTTCAGCTTTTGTGTTGCAGATTTCAGATGACTTAGATTTGGAAGTTAGTAGGTAAAGTTAATAGATACCTTAATGGAATCTAAAAATTATAAATGTGTCATCTTCTTGTAGATTTTATAAAGACTTTTGAAAGCAACATGAATAGATGATATCATGTATAATGTACAGAAAGACATAGAACTTATACAAAGGCCCCAAATCTATTACAAATCTAGAACAAAGAGCTATCAAATTGTGCTTGTGAGGAACCAGAGGAGTATGAAAATAACCAAGGAAATGATAGAGGCAAAAAAAGAAATTCCTTTTAAAAAAAAGTTGGAGAAGGTTGATTGCAGTGAAAACCTTGACTATGATGACAAAGATTATTTACTGAATTTGACAACACAAAAGATGGATTAGTCATTTTTCTTCTTGCTGGGACATATACCTGACATCCACAAATTAAAAGAGGATAAATTTAATTTGGCTCATATTTTAAGGAGATGTAGTACATAGTTGGCCTGCTCAAAGTCAAGAAGAAAAAGTTTGTGAAGAGCAAACCTGTGCACATCATGATGTTCAAGAAGCATAAGAGGGGGAAGAGAATGGGTTTGGCTTGCTTTAAAGCAAGAGCATTATAGAAGAAGGGTGTGGTAGAAAAAAGCTTCTTGGTTTATAGCAGTCAGGAAACATAGCAGGGGAACAGTGCCAGAGGTGAAAGGGCAAGGGAACCAGACACAGACTCCATGGCCCTCCTGGACACACCAACTAGAGTGCTCTGCTAATCCTCTGGGTATATCCCACATTCAAACCTTAAAGCAAATCAAATTGCAATTCCTCCCTTACCACCACAAATGTTATTAATAAGAATGATTTTATTGGAATGATAAAGTCTGCAAAAATAGTGAAATGAGCTAAAAAGTGAATAATGCAATGCAGAGTGGGAACATTATGAGAACATCAAGTTATATAATGCAAGAGAATAAAAGGGACGTTGTATTGTCATTAGGAAGTTAAGAGCAATTTCATTTTAAGATATGCAAGTGATCGAGGCATGATTATTTGTTAATAGAAATTATTCTAGAGCAAGGAATATGTTAGTGATATGGAAAGAGATGCCAAAGTAAAGCAAAATAATTTTGTAGAAGAAATAAGTGAGATTCACAGATAGGTGCAGAGAATTCTAATATAACAAGTAGAAAGGATTGTAGATTCTTTTAAATAGGAAGATGAGAGAGCTAATGCTCAAATACCTTTAATTTGGTAAAACTGTATCAAATGAGTTTATCAAATGAAAATGCATAGGGATGATTGGAATAACAAGGTTAATATAAAGAAACATAGGAAATAGGTGTTAGTGCTGCGGAGAGAGCAAGTTTAATATTGAAATGTTGTCTTGGCAAGGGACTTTGCCCTTTTGAGGCTGACGATAATGAGTCTGACTAGTCTGATTATTTCTAGTGTTAGTTGAAAAAGATTGTTCAGAAGTGCGATAAAGCTAAGTGCATTTAGCAAATTACCAGTAATAGTTTCAGGCATATACTTTAGAAATATAGATCTAGAGGGAAGAAATCTTTAAGTATAAGTTTAAGTAGGGCGATTTTTAAGGAAAATGAATTAAACTGTCTTTCAAAGTCACTTTCAGCTATAAGCATTCCACCATGTCAGACAAATTTGTAGACTCAAAGATTTCAGAGGAGAAAAAAACAACCTTAGCATGTATTTTAGAGTATAAAACAATAGTCATTCTCATATAACTTGTGAGAATCATCTAAAAAAAAACTAATAAAATGAGAGCTAGTAAAGAGATAAATATGATAAAAAGACGTCACCTTACTATATTAATAATCTACCCTTAATCATAACTCAAATTAAAAGTTAACTCTTTTCTTGGGCCCTTATCATGTTAAAGGGGAATTCAATGATGGTTGCTCAATGAATCACCACCTGCATCTATGAAAATCAGATTCGTTGTTGAATTAAAGTTACCATCAACTCCAGAATTATTAAAGATATTCAAGGCAGGTTTTCCTCATATCCATTACTTTGTGACACTCCAGTTTTTTATACAGTGTCAAAAGCACAATC